TGACCCGTCTGCTCGTTTGGCAACTTTTCGCATAAAAAAAAATAAAACTCGAAACTTTTGAGACTAAATAAGTCTGGTGAAATGTCGATAGCTTTCACCGCACCCTGCTGAGTTTGAAAAGAATTAAAATCGATTCATTATCACAAATCATAATTAAAATAAATTAAAAACATAAGTATAGGGCATTGAAATTCATAGTAATGCTCACAAATCCCTTGGTACTCGTTAAAATTTAGACGAGGACTTGAATGGCAATTCGAGTGAAGGTTATGTCGAGGCTTCCAATATGTCTGCGAATAGCTTGTAAATGTCGGCCGAAACCGGTCGCACTGCCTCTATTCCCCATAACGCGCATAGTTATTCGCTTCAGTGGAAATTTTATTATTGCTCCATTCCCTTTGTTTATCATTACCCGAATACACGCATGGTGTAGCTAATGCTATTCGCCTTTTACCATGTTTTGCCTTTTGCCTTATCTCATAAGCCTATACATCAATAACATTTTTAAACGAGATAGTCTAAAATGTATTTATTTATTTATCAGAAATCCAAAAGCATCACAGATTCCATAAGTAAAGTTAATTATTTTCAGTGCTAAACAAGGATAATCATTTCTTATATTTACACGGATACTCATTACTCCACATACAAATTTTATTCTATGACCAGTAATGCTGTAAAGTGTTCGAAGCGTGGAGAATTTAAAGTCAAAATCACTACATAGTATAAACAAAGTCATCGCGCTGTTGGTCTGTCCCTCTGTTTGATTAGATCTTTAAAAACTACGCAACGGATATTGATTCGGTTTTTTTACTAGATAGGGTGATTTAAAAGGTTTGTTATGTTTAATACATTGCACCCGTGCGAAGTCAGGGTGGGTCGCTAGTAAATAGCTATAAAATCAGCAAAGCACTTTGATTTAATCATTTTTGATTTATAGAGACGTATGAATAATATGCGATAGTAAAATGCTCATTAATTAGTGACATTTTACTTCCATCAAAAGTGAAATATCAACATTAATAAACAACATAGGTTGGCGCCGGTTTGATTTCTGAACGTTTTCAATGGCCTTTACGGACATTTCACTGGCCATAAGAGCTATAAGGATTTGTTAATATTCCCGAAAGTAATATTTTACAGTTTTATGTAAATTTGTTATGATAAAGCCAAAGTGAATGATAATGGAACATTTGAGCATAGTAGCGTTGCATCGAGGGGCATACGTTGGCGGAACCAATTACCTGCACTGGGTAGATCGAAAACAAAACGTTAATGACGTCACGCGCGTTCAATTAAGTTTGATGATTTAATCGGGAGTGTTCCGAAAAATTCGCAGAACGTTGTTTCAGTATGCGGATAGTTCATTATCGCTGTTTGCTGTGTGTTTAATTTTAATCATGCAGCCCATATCCCACGGGTGGCTGGTTCTATTGTGCTGGAATGTAATTAAAGTAGATGGTAAATAGTACAGTTGCGAACCAATTCTCTATACTTGTGTTTGGTGGTTATGAGATCGAAGCGTAATTCTAATGAATTCTACCTACAACTAGATAGATCAAACAAGATCGGTCTGACTGATCGTGCCTTAAGAGAGAACAGTGTATTATATTAAACTCAGCTGCGCCTTCCGCCAACTCAATTCGATTAAACTTTCACTAAATTTCCACTCACGACGCATATTGAACTTTGCACTCTAATAACATTTAAACATTGTATAATGAAGATTCCACACCATTTCATAACATGCGTCATATATTAACCATAATTCAGTAAAGATGTTAATTACAAAAGTAAGATGTTACGAAGCTGGAGAAAAACGTCCCTAGTTGTAAAGATTCAAATTCAAAGGGGCTCTAAGCTATTGTGATAATATCAAGAACAAAAAAAAATGATTGAAGCGATCAAATGATTTAAGCGCCCATTGCTTTTGATAAAATGAAAATCAATTAAAACAGAAATCCTATTCGGAGTGGGACTTGTTGTACCGGTGTATGGCAATAGTCGAAATTTAATGAAACAATCCCCATTCGAGAGCCGTACGCTTGATTTCTGATACTCGGAAATGAGATCATGGATCCCTGCCTCGCTTGTGCTCCCTGAAATATGACCTGTTTGCGGTTGGCGGAGTGAGCCACGGCGCACTTGATTAAATTCACTTTATTTCGTTACAAAGGTGCTCTTGAAATATTCTCTCTTTTTCGGATGGTGATATAGAGTCCATTGTATTGACCGTAAACGAAATTTGGCTATTATTTATAATTAGGCACCAGAAACTATTAAATTGTAATGTCTAGAATTCAAAGTTACACTCAGGAGAACTTTGTGACTAATGGAACTTGAATATGAGGAAAAGTCTTGTTCACTCTCTTATATTTACATATACCTAATATGAATAATTTATTTAAACAACTAATACAAAAAAAGAAGTACTTATTGAAAATGACATTTATAAGGTTAACAGAAATAAGGCACTATGTTATGACAGTAATTTTATTTTTTCTCACTTATGTAAAATGTAAATGTAATCTTTTAGTGACTTCTAGTGAGGTGATGGAATTAACATTTTTATGTAGAGACATAAACATTGAGACACGAGAAAAACACTATTTTCATTAAACGATAGTCTTCAATAGTAGGTGACAGTTCTCATCTACTGCAAAACTAGATACTATGCACTAAGACATATGATCACCAAAAACCGTTTAATAATTGAAGAAGTGATTGTGAGGGAAATAAAACATTAATAGCCATGGATTTTCCTCTAAAATGTAAGCGTCCTTCAATCGAGTAAAATATACTGTAGGAAAATACGTCCTAAACTAACGGACAAAATCCTTCGAAAAACATTAGCGATGGTCACCTCGCAATCGTAATGAATAAGAAGATTCAAATTACATAGAAAAGATATATAAACGTATCATTAATTTAATTTATTATTCTTTTCAAGCTTTGCAAAATAAATGACAGCAGCGTTAGGAATAAAGAAATATAGTTAATACCATAATACCCAGCCAGTCAATAAATTAAATTCGCAAAATACATTAACCAAAGTTACTAAAATAGTTACTAATACATACTGTAATTACCTTGAGTATTTTAAAGACAGCTTCTGTACTAAATAATCGATTTTCATTGAAATCAATAATAAAATATCTTCATTTAGATTGTTTTGGTTGAGTTACGTGATGATTCTTCTTTATACTTTTTTTCTTCTGTATAATCTTGTCAAAAAATTGACTGTCTATGGTCTCTCTCTAAGGCAAATTAAAAATATATGTTTAATTAATTCAAGTTTAATTATTCCAGTTCAAATTAAATATATTTATTTGTTAAGTCTTTTACATTCGCAAACAACCCACACAGGGAAACCGAAAAAGGAAAACGCTATATTAAATTATCCTTTGATCTACGAATTTTTTTCCATCATAAGCGATTTGAGCCGAGAGACGGCTGCCATTTTCCCGCGTAATTAAACGTCAAGCAAGCGCCATTTTAAGCGGGATATGAACACGATCGAATGAACTAAGTACACGTGCCATGCGCCACGTATAAAGTTAAACGAGGTGTTTTTTAGGTCGACTCTATTAAAATCGAAGTTGAAAAATGTTTAAAAAAAAACAAATGATTTTGTTTTTTATATCCTCATAATTTTTCTACCACTAGCTGCTGCCCGCGACTACGTCTGCGTAGAATAGGCGGAGGGCGTAGCAGACAGATATACATAAAATATGTATATTAATTATAGCCTATGTCTTATTCTGATGTATAAGCTATATTATTGTAGTTTCATTAAAATGCATTCAGTAGTATTTACGTGAAAGAGTAACAAACATCCATCCGTATATACAAACATTCAAGTTTATAATATTAGTAACGATGTATTTGATAAAAGATGAAAATGATAAATGTTAATGCTTCGCATATATATTTATTTACATTAGTGGAATATTATATTTCTTATAGTATTGTATTGATATATTAAGAAGGTGACAAATGATAGTTATTAGTTATTGTTGCCGGGTGGCCATAAAGTCGCGCATTGGGTCAAAGCATTAAAACTGGTTATTAAAAATGAATTATTTTAACTAGCTATAATAATTGTGGGCTGCTGAAGTAACCGTATTTAATGTATTTAAAATGTAAAAACTTTTATCTTTTTAGTATCAGGTCCTTTCGGGTAAGTACCACGATTGCACAGAAGTGTTATACTTCTGCGTTTCGTCTGGTGAATGAGGTAGCCGGTGCTCACTTTATCATGTTTAAAGGTGGAAACGCATCTGTAAAGCTACAGGCATTGTTAATGTCTCAGGTGAACCGCCTGCTCGCAACAATCTTAATTAAACTTTAACTTTTTCATATCGGCTGTGCTGCCTCCTCAAGAGTTAATTCACTTTATATAATTTCGCTCTTCGTAAATCAACCCGACTATTTCTAACTTAATTCAAACAACCGAAATTATAATGCAACATATTAAAATGCACGTTCTAACGTACACCATAAAGAGCATCAAGGAGAAATGCGTACTACATTATGCATTCGGCTTGCAATCTGTACCAGATTGTTCCTACGTTTTAATTATCCTTAACGAGGCGGCAAGTTTGTCCCAACCGTCCTATAATGCGACGCGAAATAACCACAAAGGTCTAATTAGTGACGGCAAAAGAAAGCGATTTCCCCACTGGTCATGAATATTAAAACTCCTCATTAGGTGTTTTCGTAAGTCCGTCACCGCGGGCCACTCGCAACCCGAGTCACGTCCGAGCAATGAACAATGACAGCTCCTAATCGAGCACCGTTATGCAACATATGATTCTCGCTTTATGGGGCCAATGTCGCGCCCCACTCGGCCAGAATATCGATTTTGAAGGAGACAGTGACACATCCGGGCTAATCGGAAACTTAGACAAGAAACTCGGTTGCCACTCTCATTTGTATAAAAGCATAGCCGTTTTGGACAGAGTATCATTCGTCTGCAAACAGCCGAAACATCCACAATAATGAAGAGCTGCGTTTGCGTACTTCTCCTCGCAGCCGTTGTAGCGGCTGAGCCTCCTCGCTATAGACAGGCGAGGTTGACATCAGCGCGACAGGAAGACGGACAGCAGGACGCGCAGCAAACGGAAGACGCTCCCTACCCCGCGGCGGGCTTCAGGCCAACGAAAGCATTCAACCTTCCGAGCCGCGAGGATCTCTCGCCGCCATCCACCTCGTACGGCGTTCCCGCCACGAGCTACGGTGCGCCGCTCAACACCTACGCCGCTCCCCAAAGTGAGTATGGACCACCGGACGCCGAGGGCAAGAGCAAGAGCGGCGACAACAAAGAGGATGTCGAGAGCATCGAAGGGGCCGAGAAGAAGGGGGAGAAGAAGGAGAAACTGGAAGAGGAGCCGAAAAATGACGCCGAGGTCGTGAGTGCTCAGGGCGCCTACTACGTATTGCTGCCAGGCTCCCAGCTGCAGAGAGTCCCAGTTCCAAACGGAGAACGATGTACGCAACATGGCGTACACTGCACGCCTCCAATACAAGAACGAGGACCGTGCCCCGATCTACGTGTACACGGCAGTGCCACAATACCAGTCGGCGGCTTATGTGCAATTGTTTTGAACGTTAGCTGCGTTTAAAAGTGCAAGACAAAAGGAAACAATTTGAGTTGATTATTTATTTTATCAGTTGCTCATGACAAGTGAATCTAATTTTTATCTTTTAATTTACTTAGGAAAGTATGTAGGTCGAAAATTTAATTAATTTCTTGAAACTTAATGAATATACACGAATTGTTTGCATTTGTCTGCAGTCTTAATTATCACAAAATAGTTATTTGATGTTATTAAAAAATAAATATTTAATTTATGCGAAAAAAAATAGATTTATTAATTTGCAACAAATGTTTACTTCCACAATGAAAAACCTATAACGACAATTGACTTAACGGCATGGCCCAAATTTTCTCGAAACTCGAATTTTAACATTTCATCACTTCTCAACACGATCTTATTTAATAGAAATTGTGTTAACATTTGAGTTTAACATTTCAATGGTTGCTCTGAATTTGCAGTTTCGACGGTTATTTGGGAAAATTGGGTACTTTTGTTTCTAACGTTCGTTCCAGTCTATTCAGAGTAACTGGTTGCTTAGTGAATAAACAAAGAATAACATTTGTCAATCGTTACAGAAAACATTATTAGTTAGTTATGAAACATGTATTTCTAAATCCAAAGATTTTTGTTTTGAGCACAGATTTTTATAGAAACGTTCAATTTTTTATTGAGACATTTTCTTTTTTATTTTTTTTGTTACTTTTTCGCTAGTTAAGAGTAAATATTAAGAGTCAGCAAGCACCTTTGAACAAACGTTTGGTATCAATCAAAAGACTATTAAAATCTATCAAAAATAATTATTTGAATTAATGCAATTTATGAACAAGGTTTAAGTGCTTTAATTGTAGATCTTTTACAAATGAAATATATGGTTTAAGTAGACAAAAAATATTTTAACAGCTTCAGGTTTAGTGCAAAAATGACAAAAAACATTCAATAATCTTTAAAAATTATCCTGTCTGAAGTAATTAGGACTGCACAAACACTTTAGAACTATAACTTATATGCAGATATTTAATCTGCTCATATTCAAAGGATTGAAACAATCAAAAGAAGTCATTTAGACGGCTCAGTAGACATAGTGCTCGTTACTTTGTTTTGGCTCACGGGTTTTGGGTTCAGAACCGTTAATAATTAAGTAGAGAACAAATGTTTTTTTAGCTTCAAGATTGTGGAAGATGAAGAAAGAAGAATAGTTGTGCAAAATAATGTAAGTTCGGTAATGATAAAAAAATTAAACCTGAATAGAAAACAATTAAAAACCATTATAGTCAACTTCTCTGGTCGTCAACGGGCAATCTTTAATTTCAACTAACATTTGGCGAACGAGATTCGAATGAAACCGATTTACGTGACCACTGAACTCGAAAGCTCTATAAAGCAGCTAAGCGGACAAAGGGTTGTAAGGAAGCCGCCCACGTACACACCTTTAATCCCGGCGAAGAAAGTAAAGTGATCGTAAATACGTCTCTCGAACCGTCTGCTGGGAAGCCCTAAGAACGTGAAGGGTAATTAAAGTAGACACATAGCGAAGGTGGGGGGGGGGGAGGGAGCATTGCACCCGTTCTTTAAACTTCAATGCGAATAATGCTACTCCATAAAATATGCGAATAGTGCTACTCCATTAATCTTCACGTCGAAAGTAAAACTTTTTTAACGGTGTTAATAAAAAGCTTTCATGTCTGCTCACAAACACCGAGTCTAATCTTTACCAATTTTACTACAAATTGATAATTAAATCTAATTTACCAATTTTATCGTGATATATAAGTATATCGTTTATATTATTACTAAGAAAGTAATAATAATTTGAATTAATTGGAAGATTAGAAGTACAGTCGTAGAATTCCTCCTTTAGGTTGATATAATATTCAAGTCCGTAATTTTAAAAAGTATTATCTATATTCAGTAGAAACAATTACAAAGTAAGCAAAAAAGTTCTAATTTAAAAATCCTTGTGAAAAAATCTACTGAGTGCCTTCGCACGTTCTTTTTAATGTAATTAGTTGTAAACAATATCGCTGGCTTAATTAATAGATAATTATATTTTTAAGACATCTTAAAGTTTCAATATTGCGTCGGAGGAAGGACAGGAACTCTTTTTCGAAGTATCTCAGTGACATAAATTTGTCCGTGGCCCACTGGACCTCATTGTATTGACAAACGACGGATCCATAACGAAGTTAAGAGGATTAGGGGGAGGCGAATTTTTTATTTGCAAAAAATAATGTTGTTGATGGATTAGAAATGAGCCCCCTGGGTGTTTGGACTTTGGTAATTATTTTGTATCAAAGTAAGTCATATTTTTTTTTTTCATTGAAATTGAATGAACATAATAATCATCGTCGATATCGTTCGCACTCGCCGTGGTTTTAAAATTACGCCCTGGGCCGCGCGACTGCGTTTATCAAATCTTTAGGAAATAAAACTCTTGCCTCCATTCATTAAACGTATTCAACTCAATAATCGTATTAATTGTAATGTCTATGTATTTATAATAATTATTATACGTGCAAATGTATTTGTTATATTTATTTTAGTATTTATTCTGTACTTTTATAATATATCTGCATAACCTAGTAGGTTGTCTGGTAGGGATGGCCTTAGGCATTAAGTCCTTAATTATTAAATTTTACGGTGGTAGGGCCACGCAACACTGTCCCGCGAATGGGCAGGTCCGTCCGGGTAAATACCACGAACTCACAGAAGAACAGCGAAAAGTAGAAGTGTTACCCTTCTGCGTTTCGTCTGGTGAGTGAGGTAGCCGGGGCCCACTTTATTTATACACAACACATTTGCAACCCTGCGGGTGTTCCATGCAAATGTCCATGGGCGGCGGTTATCACTTGACATCAGATGAACCGCCAGCTCGTTTGCCACTTTCTTACATAAAAAAAGTCCGCCTATGCGCAATATTTTTGTAAAAGTTGAATGAATAAATAAATAAATATCAATACAAACTTCATTTATGATAGAATACCATAAAATTCAATGATTATATCAATATAAGAATGTTTTCTTTGTAAACTTTACAATCATGAATTTCAGCCGTCCTGTGCGTGATCATCAGTTGGGTCGTCCTCGGCTGCAACCTGATGCCGTCGGCCGAGGAACTGCACGAGGTGACCCTGATGAAACTCCTCTACCTGTACGACCCTGCGGCCTGCGGGAGGATGCAATTCTTCAACTACACAATGAAGACGGCCACAAACATGCATGTCTCCACGATAGTGTGGCCTCAGAGGAATTCCGTTGCAGCCAGCTTCCGTGGGTAGGCAATACTCTACGTAAAATTATTTCATTTATTAAATCTCTCTTTCTATTGCTAATGTTTGTACTGTTTATCTTTGGTCTAAAGTTTAGCTTTCTATTATATTTTTAACACCTATTTTTAGGGTTACGTACCAATAGGGCAAAACGGGACCCTACTACTAAGACTCAAGGGAATTACCACGCCTTTAAAGTGGATCGATGTAATGGGAAAGTGCTCGTTCATTCGCCTTCCCCTGGTAAGTGAGGTAACTGAAGTCCACTCTTCGAAGGGTGGCTACGCATCTTCATCCATACGCATTGTTTTACAAATCCGGTATACATTTGCTGGGCCCACTCGCTTACCACGTTCAAGAAAAAATGTTTGGATACGATTTTATTAAGGGACAGAATTGATTAATATTCACATATTTCGCTAATAACTTGTGAACTGCCCTCTCGTGAGTGAATGCATTAGGAGATTGTCGGGGCCTCACATTCTGTGTCGTCTCATTGCAAGTCGTTCTACGACTTCTCCGCTGAGTCCCTCGCTAATAAAGTGGGCTGCGGGATGGCTGGAATTTTTAATTTAGAACTAGCTTTCTCTTTTGATGTTTTAAAGAAGAACTTCTTTCTTGATTAATATTTTTTATGAGAGTATCATTGCACTAATTAAAAACCGTAGGGAATGAGCACTTTTTACTTAATGAATGTTTTCGCGTTCTACTAAATGTGGCAGCTCAGAAATTACTCAAGGAGACTTTTTTTTACTGATTCTTAATTTACAGGAATTCTATATTACGAAAGAGTTTCACTTAACTTATATAATACGAGTACATTAATTTTCAGAGCCCGATAGTTTGGCCGGACTTCTCATTCGATTATAACAGTTCTCAAAGGTCAATGTCAAAGGTCTCAATCTAAATATTAATTAATTACAAAAGTTTAATTGATGTCCGTTTTACATTAGGTAGCCTACCCTTATCATGCGTTTCAACGAAAGGTATATCAGCCCGCTTTTCAACAAAAACAAATCTACGCTTGGTTGACATCAACGCGTTATTGGTAATTTGTAACTATTTACCACTAATGGGTATTAGTTAAAATTCCACTTGGTTGTATCACATCTACAGCAAGGTTCGCCTATGGCTTGCCCTGCATCTGCTTTGGCTAGTGTTGGCTGTGGTGAACCTGACTCAGGGTCATCGAACTTGCGGCTTCTACGTGGGGCTGCTGCCCTTCTCCTGCACCGGACTCGCCTTGTCGCTGGTGGATGTCATTTTCACGGGACTATTCGTACGAGACATCGAGAGAACTTCCACGGAGCGTGAGACATTGATGTTATGACTTCCAACTAGAATGATAAAAGTAATATTGCCTTTTAAACGGACTTCTTATAGGTACTGAAATGTCTCTACATTTCAGTACAGGCATTAATGACAAGCTCAATCGCACAGTCCTTAGCATTCTCAATTAGTCCGACGTATCAATACAGTCACACATGTAAAGCGAGCACATTCGCTGTATACACATAGTGCCTCCTGTAAACGGATCACGGAGCTCCCCTTTGTTTGTATAGACAGTGTTATACCCAGTAGCTGCTTACGGTCGCACGGTGGTGCACTCGATGTGTTTGCAAGGGCCGGTGTGTTCATGCGCCGGCCATGCGCTGAGGCTATCTCACCGAATCAATCGCTGCTGATTGGATTTATGTAACCATTGTCATATCGTACGCTTAGTTAGATTGCTATTGAAAAACAAGATCTCCAAACTTAATGCGACAGTTTCACTTTGATTTGAGGGTAAAATGTTCTTAATCTTAATAATTATTATTTATAAAGACACACACAAAACTACCGTCGCTTTTAGACCAGATTTCTTGTGGTAACGACGAATTTCATTTTTCTTTAATCTCTGATATATGAATAAATAATTTTTAAACGTTTGGTGAGAGATTAATATATTTTATTCTCATATTCGTATTAACTTATTATTATTGTTAGTTACTTATCTTTAGTTCTAGAACTATAAATAACTTTCTACCTTCTTTACCACCTTACCTGCCCAACAAAGGACAAGATGATTGCGGAAAATATAATAACATAGATAGACATTTAAATTCATTGACTGCACACCAACTGACTCAATAGTTTAGGTTATGGTCACTTAGTCAAATGTTTTTGGTCGTTGTGTTGAATGAAACGACGTAAATAGTTGTTTGTGGTCGTGCAGTATTGTGCTTGTTTTACCTCGCTCGACAAGAATTATTTTATTATTATTATTATATACTTTATTGTACACCACAAAGAATTTGATACAATTAGTATGAAATAAGTCTTAAAAGCTAGGTAAAATAAGGCGGTCTTATCGCTAAAAAGCGATCTCTTCCAGACAACCTTAGGACGAGGAAAAATAAACTAATGAATAGTGGGAGGTGGTGTGCTCAATAAACTTACTTAATACCAAAATAGACTTAAATATAATAAAATTATAATAGACATACATAACATTTTAGTCGTTCCAAGGACAAAAATATATGTGTTGCATCGGGGTATTCACATTTTACCTTATAGCGAAGCTATCGAACATACAAGATTATCTTTGGGCAGTTGATATCTTGGATTACGTCCAATCTGGTGATGGCAGCCTGCGATGGATTATCAAGGCAATGCGATGGCGCGTACCACCGGTGATCGATAAGAAGCATGTCGAAGACACATCCTGGGTTGCAGTAATGATGGCGTACATTAGCTGCAGGGGTGTGGTGCAGTGGATCGTCAACCTTTGGCTCGTCAAGGACAACTTTGTCCAGGGCCGCCAGGCGTACCGTTAGTAGTATTATACTATCTGCAATGATATCGTCATGGACTAGGGTCGTTATACTTTTAAAACTTCCCGCCACTCACCATGAAGTTATCCGACAGCCGACAAAATTAAAAAAGTTGTAGTGTCATTTTGACTGAAATGTTCATTGCATTAGGTCCAACGGTTGTAGCCAAGTTGTCTCGTGATGAGTTACTATTTTCGCCTTTCGCATAATTTCTACCTTTACCTATACAAAAACAACGTTAAGTGCAAGGTTTCTTCCAAACAGCTCATAACGAGGAACGTATTCATGATTCATGAAGAAAATGAAGCTTAGAGGATTACCATCATTTTAAAATGGTCATTATATTTACAGATCGATTACAGTACGAGAAATTAAACCGAAAACGAAAATGTGATAACTGAATTTGCCACGTAACTTCACCAATGTAAAGCCTAATAAAATATATTTACCATTTTTTAGCAATTTTTATTTCATTATAATCGTACCATAAACTATTGAAAATTAATGCCTTATTTCTCAATAGTTAAAATAGTAATAAGACTTAAATTAAATATGGAAAAGATGATATTGATGTTGAAAGATTTAAAAATATTTACTTGAGAAATACTGTTATTGAACAAGCGACCACTCAGGAAAAGTAAGTACAAAATCTATCAAACAGTATAAGGTATTAATATGAAAATGAAGAAAGAATAAGTCGAGCTTCTCTCTTTCTAATAATTTACGAGCGAAAGCGTTTTGAAGCACAAGCATTTATTAAATTGCTTTTAATTAAACAATAATGACTCTGAGACAAGAAATGAGTTTACTACGTACTTTCCCGAAAAAATCCTATTCACAGCATATTTATAACCGGACAAATATGATCCGTATCTTATTTTATTTTATTAGGGTCACAAATTACGAAATAATTAACGAGGACACGGTTCATTAAGGAGCCATCGCTTATTAAGCAACGTATTATCCTCACGGATAGCCTTCTCATAGTAACCATTTATGATAGACAAAGACCTATAAAGTTGCCGATCCGTATAAATATTCTAGCAACGCCTAGACAGACATCATTCAATACCCGTTCGGAAATGAAGTCGTTAGTTGTTCTCTGCCTGATCGCCGGCGCCTTTGGCGAAGCGCCGAGGCCTAGAGTGGGGAATCGGGCATTGCCGTCCCTGAGGCCTGCCAGGTTCAGATCTCAGCGCTTCGAGATTGTCCCAACGACGACAGACTCGCCGACGGAAGCCACCACGCAAGCGGAAGGTCCGTACCCGCCGGCCGGTTGGAGACCAGCGGGGGCGCCATTCAAGCTGCCCACCGAAGTGAAGGCCCCGGCCGATACCTACGGTGCACCCATAATGAGCGCCCCCTATCCCGCTTCAGGGTGGAAGCCAGACGGGCAGCCTTTCTTACTGCCGCAAAAACAGTCACCTCCGGCGGCGAGCTACGGGGCACCAGACAATGCTTACGGTAGCACAGATGACTCAACGACCACAGACTCATCGGTGGCAGAGACCACTGAGAATCTGCTGGTGGAAAAGTTGACAGGGCCCGTGGAGGTGCAAAGGAGTGTCGGCACATATTACATCCTTCTCCCTAACGGCCAGCTGCAGAAAGTACAGTTATTGACGGAAAATGATGTCAAGAACATGAGATACAGTGCGAAGTTGCAACTGAGGGACCGGGCGCCCTTGTATTTACTGGGTCGATAAACTGAAATTACGTTATTTTGTGTAAAAATAAAATAAGTCTTATAAAATACAAATGGTTTTTATTTATTATGTGACTATCATGAGGCTTATCATTGATCGGATGTTATTAATCTGTGTATAGAAAAATTTATTACTTCATCGTTTTCTCTCGCTGGTTCCTAATAAATAATAAGAGATCTATAATTATAATAGCTCTATCTAATGGCTGCTGTCCATTGAGTACTATCTAATAATATATATGAATAAAATCTAACTACTGGCTAATGGTAACGCAATTTATGGCATTATATAATTTGTATATGAGCAAATATCTTCAGTGCAATTGCAATGTGTCTGAAATAAAACTTATAACAAACTTTACGCGATTTTGTCAATTATGTATTCGATGACAGTGTTAGGGGACAACAACGCCTAGTAATGTCATCTCGTTAGATCGTAATTGGATTTGGTCATAAGTTGGTCCCAATTTCGATCCGTCCCATATTGAGATCAATCGCCGAATGTTAGGTGAAACTGCGTTCAGGGCGCGTCCATTACTTTCAGCGACCGTATACACGAATTAAGCGATTTGTGCACATTGCAAAATAATAATAGAAGGGGCGTGATGAAGGATATTTTTTTTTGAAATCGTCTAATCAACTAATTCTAATCTCAAATTATGTTGCATCCTTAACTAACAACACAAACGTCTTGAATGTTTTGCTTTTATTAGCATTATAGAAAAAAATTTAAGCACACATAGATATGCCTTACTTTGCTTTTACTAGGACTTCGAGATAGACGAATAAAGTATTTCACATTCACTTTTACTCAGTAATAAATTCAAGTATGCGTAACACTGATAAGAGCCGGGATTTAATGGCGCCGAAATCATTCAATTTGGTATTACGATTTCTGGCAAATTCTGGAAATTAACGGTCGCCTCCCGCTTTACTAAGGCGATAATGAAAAATTTTATATCACGTTTCTTTCAACATTCCAAATCGAATTTCGTCGAGGACTGAATCATTTCGTTCGGGATTGCCGACGGTAATAATTCTAACAAACTCGGCCCTTACCTTGATAGTGATGTTTTTATGACGATAGACTTTGTTTTGTCTTAGAAAATACTTTGAAATTATTATTTTGTTAACATGAAATACACATCCATTTAATTGGATTCGATAAAACGTTACTATTTTTAGAAAAATCATTAAAAGGCGACAAACTATCAGCAATATTAAATTTCTATGGCTTTAATTAAGCAAGTTTTTACTGAGCGAGAGTCACCATTAGATGGGATTGCAGTGAAGTACTAGCATGAGCGTGGTGAGGAATAAATTGCAATAAGATTGTTTACAACACGTCTCTCCTCCGAACGCCCACGTAAGGTTTGTGCTCCCCCGTCCTGTAATACAGGACCGTGTCATCACTTGGATTTTCATAATTCGCTTCAGGAAACGGTTGGTTCTCAGTCAGCGTCAAACGCCTCTTGACTTCCCTCTTTTGTACGCTCCGCATCGACATATGAATAGCTCTAATGCAGTAGATATTCATGAACAGTATCAAGACTCCCCTCATCCAGCATATCGCGGCGCCAATCGGTATCCAACCGCCAAAGTCGTCGTAATTTTGCAGCTTCATTTCGACACTCCAACCGCTGTACCGCAGGATCATGCCCTTGGTCAGGCTCTTCTTGATGTGGGAAGCGTACACGATGGCCATGGATAGGTCGAAAATCACGATGGAAACGGAGACATAGAAGAAAAGCGAGAGGAAGAACTTAAGGTACCGTACGCTCATTGCGCTTCCAACGAATATTCTTAAGAGTACAGCCGATAGCATCCACGCAACGTGCATCGCAACGCTTAAATTTAGGTACCTGTTGGAAAATAATAAGAAAAATATAAAATAAAAACTCCCTAATATGTCTAGCCAATCGTCGCTTAGTCATTTAAGGTACTGAATTAACGACCCCATTGGCGATAGATGGTGAACCTGTCGCTTGCAAATATTGTGTGATGAACGTAGTCTTTGTGTGTTTATTTATCCGTAATAGATATTGATTGACAATGGAAAAGTATGTTTTAACTATGTTTATTATTTACTCAGTAGTACAAGCTTTGCCTAGTTTGCGACTAGATAGGTAGGGTAGGATGGTATTTGACACGTACCTAAAACATTTAAATATATATATATATATGTGTGAAATAAGTTACAGATTTACCATCTAGTGGTAGCGGAGAATCGCGCAGTTACAGTTATGATGGCCGGTTGCCACCTGATAGGCAGGACCTTGAAGCCGCGGGTGTCGTTGCTGAGCCTCAGGTTGGAGATTGCGAGAAACGAATGGATTTGGCGGCCACAAGCGGCCGAGTCGTACAAGTACATGATGCGTGCCAGCTTGTCGTAGTCCTCTGTGGCCTTGTCCGGTGACCAAATGCAGTTGAACACTGTGGCTGACCCAGCAAACACAAGGACACCTGCGCGTTCATTTGAAACGATGTATGTTTTGGAAAACACCGAGTTTTTTTGGAAAACACCAAACAGCCAGTTGCGCTCGAAATTAATTAGTTTAAAAGTTTTTACAGTGTGAATTATGAACACGAGGAGTCGTGTGTCTTGAAACCATAAACTATGTGAAAATTTAATATTAAACATTTATTTCAAATAAGAAAATCATAATTATTAAAATTTCGAAAAGAATGTCGCCCAGAAATGTGCCTCCTAAAAATTAATTATATTTTACCTAGAAAGAATTGGTATGAATGTCTTAAGAAGAAGAATAATTTAATAAATTAAAATAGTATTTCTTGACTTTCACACAAGTGAGTGACAACATTTAAATAGTTTTGCGGTAAATGCATAATATAACATTATTTTGTACAGATTGCGTTTACCGGTCCAAGAACTAAAGGAAAACGCGTGAAGGTAAATAGCATGTGTGTATTCAATGGATATTCCTTTAAGTCCACGAAATATCACTGAAGCGTTTGGAGCATAAATCCGAGTAGGCTCAACGTTCCCTCATGTTCAGAGGCAAAGCTTCCTCGGTCCTTGTTGGGAATCTTTTTTGTATAAATGTAGGAAGAGGAACAATTGATAGAGGTGACTTACACTGTATTATGACGAAACACGTTATCCTAAAACATTTTATTCGTTCCGTCGACGTCAATATAAATTGTTGTTTGACAATAACAATGCTATGTCGCAACATGCTTTCACGTTACGGTGATTACTATCACATGACTCATTTCGTTGCGCGGAATATTATGGTCGAAATTAAGTATAATTGACAAGTGACGTTTAGTTACATAGTTTTTAAATGTTACCTTACGTTATTAAAAAGGATGAAATTACGTTATTTTAATCTATGTCTGTATAAATTTAAAAATCAAAAACAATCAAGATTACATTTTTTATGTAAAAAAGTGGCAAGCTGGCGGTTCACCTGATGTTAATTGATAAAAACGCCCATGGACATTTGCAACGCACTAAGCACTTGCAGATGCGTTGCCTGCCCATTCGTGTAACAGCCGAAGCCGTTGCGTGGCCCTACCACGGTTAAACGTGTTGTACATCTAATCCTGTCACAAATAAATGTTTTTCTTATATTTTTGGCAATACATAAAAAACATTTCAGAGAAAGTGCTTTGGCTAATCTCAAAACCACCAAACTGCTTCAAAGCATATCGTTATTGTTGTAATCTTTTCCTGCTTTACACCGACCAATCGCTTGACTAAATTCTTACAAACCCAGACGGGGTCTGTAAGAATTCAGTCAAGCGATTGGACTTGATTCCCAAAGGTGTCTGGTACATGACGCAATCAGAACTAAAAGACAATATCGAAACCTAAGTAAGTTGATTAAACTTTACTGTTGAACTAAGAAACTTGTACTAATGCAATGGACTTAAAACTAAAGACTTAAGGTGTAATAGTTTCACAATAAACTTATTGAATTCCAGAAGTAACTGGTATTATAACCTGGTACCTAAATTTTCCAAACAAAGCTAAGTTGCAAGTATTCGCTTAAAACCACAGTGGAATATAGTGGTGGAAGGAATCTCTTCACATATGTCTATACCTGTAGTTATAAATGGAGTCAGCCTACAGTGAAAGGATAAACTATTATTTTTTTAACTTTCAGTGAAACGATTAACTACTGTTTATTATTTGTTCACATTTATATTTTTGACCGATTTTTTGCAAATAATTTAGAATACCAATATTTATTATAACAAAAAATGTAATAATAAAGTGAAATATGAAATAAAATATTACTTTACCTAAACACGAGTATTAGTATGTACTTCATTTATTTTCTCTCATTATATCATTTACTGTTTGCATATTAAAAACCGTGAACGCAATTTCAGGGTCCAAACACAAACAAAGGGGCGCGATCTCGAAGCTCCAATCTCGCTGTGTACCTCATGTTCTGAATGTCATTCTCCGTCAAAAACTCCACCTTCTGCAGTTGTCCGCTCGGCAGGAGAACATAGTACGTGCCGACGCTCTTCTGCACGTCAACGGGTCCTTCCAGCTTTTCTGCTTGTGGATTTTCAGTGGTTTCTGTTGTAGGAGCGCCAGTTGGGGTTCCGTAGGTGCTATCCGGTGGTCCGTAAGCATTGTCCGGCGGTTGCTGACCTTGCGGCAGATTGAACGGCTGTCCGGCTGGCTTCCAGCCTGCCGGTGGATAGGGTCCACTGGCCGACGGGGTGCCGTACGCATCGGCCGGCTCTTGGTTCTCATTGGGCAACGAGAACGGTTCCCCGGCTGGTTTCCAACCGGAGGGCGGGTACGGCCCTCCGGAATACGAGCTTTCGGTTTCCGTAGTGGGTTCCGTGGGTGAGTCGGTCGTCGTCGGGGCTAGCTCCTGCCGCTGGTACCTGAACCTCGCCGGCCTAAAGCGAGGCGGCTCAGCCAGCACTCCGACGAACGCACAACACAGAACGAGCAACTTCATCTTTGGACGAAGATTGAATGATGAATGACGGGTAATCGCAACATTATTTATACTATGGTCCATTCAATAGTTCTTTGTTTTATCAAAAATGGTATCTAATCGAGAAGGCTGCGAAGAGGATACATTAGAGGCGCTGAGTATTCCGCTCACGTCATGGCCGACATTGACCCGTAACGTTAAACTGTCGGCTATCCCTGAATGAGTGTTCAATGGCGTCAATAGTTTGAGGCGTGACAAAAACAAAACTTTTCAAATTCATTCAAAGAGACTTTTGATGTGAAACATCTATAGCCGCACGTAAAACCGATTTCTGGCGTGGCGACGCATGCCGTGGCGACACGTCGCCAAGCTATATGATGGTATATATATAAACAGTCTATATTAGTTCCTTTCACAATCTGTTCTTTTCTGCATTTTACTTTTACAAAGCCGTGATAGCTCAGTGTCCGGGCGCCCGCCTTTAATTCAATATACTCGAGAAACCTGAGTTCGATCCCCGGTGCCGGCACCAATGAAGTTTTTAACTTTTAGTGCTGATTTATTACGTGCTCCGCGGTGAAGGAAAACATCGTGAGGAAACCTGCATATTTTCGAAATAATAAGAAATAAATATATATTTCGAAGCTATGTGAAATCCGCCTGATACCCTCTGTAAAGAGGAGGCCTTTGCCCAGATGTGGGACATGTATAGGCTGTTACTTTGCTTTTCTTAACAAAAAACAAAACCTACTTCAAATGTCTCACTCGCTTAAGTTTTGAAGTAAAAAACAATAAATACAAACGAATTGGGAACTTTCTGCTGTTTTCAAATCGGTTGAAAATCATGGATTGTTTATGGTCCATAAACAAATTACACTCAACTAACGTCGTATCGATTCAATTATCACCTTGCCTAAAGATTAAATTGACATATTTATGATGACACTTAAAAATTCTTTTTTTATACTGATATCAAGAGTCATCATCCGCCTGCCTGTATCCCACCTAGGTGTGGTCGCCACAACATGTGAATCATGTTGTAAGTAAATTTGGCTATATATTTTTACGACCGGCCACCTGCATGATGTCAAACCTCCCAGAGAAACAAACACCAAGATCCGAAGTAAATATCTGTGGCTCACCCAAATACTTATTCCTCTTGGTGATCGAACCCACGACCTCGGACGCCAAAGCCAATAGCTTAGCATCAGCGCCACCGAGTCATTACTGATATCTAATTTATGTTTTTAATTCAAAAGTATAAAGACGAGGATATCAGTATATGTGCGAGCAAGGATGTTTTATAATATAGATAACGCATGTCCATACTGCGTGGCGTTAAAAATTTTTTCCGCTTTACATTTATCAATACATAGTATAAAATAAAGTCGTCCCGCTGTCTGTCTGTCCCTATGTATGCTTAGATCTTTAAAACTACGCAACGGATCTAGATGCGGTTTTTTTTTACTAGATAGAATGATTCAAGAGGAAGGTTTATGTGTATAATACATAGCACCCGTAGCACAGCACCGAAGCCGGGGCGGGTCGCTAGTACGAAATAAGTAAGTGAATTTGACAGATGTGAGACGATATGGAAAGTATGATACGAATGAACATAGAGATAGCTGTCTACAGAGACTATCTCTTTTCGTTTATTACACCAATTGGTGTAATTTTAATGCCTCAGATTCACTGCGTTAGTGTCATAACTACCTCATATTTGTATATAATATCATTGATCTACGAGTATATATATAAAATAGGCGAAGAAAAAGTTCGGATTCCATTTCAAGAATACTACGCGCAAAGAGTACTAAGGCATACTTAATGTCATATAGATGCTTAAATAAAGTAAAACATGTAAAAACATTTTTTTTCTCTTGTTTAGACGAATATTATAAATTTTAATAACACTGTTGACTTTAAGTTCGGCCCGTGACGAAATGATTAATCTCATGCGGCGTTTTTATTTTTAACGGTTAACATTTTTATATGATTCGTTCAATTCGTATTAGTTATCACTGAACATCAGGTGAATCGCCATCAAGCGAACTCGCTTGCGCCATCTTCTTTCATAAAAAAGACCAGCCAAGTCGGACACCCGCCCGAAGGGGTCCGTACCATTAACAATAAAAACGGAAAAAAAATCATGTTTGTTATATGGGAGCCCCACTTAAATATTTTTTATCTATAGCAGCAACAGAAATACATCATCCGTGAAAGTTTCAACTGTCTTACTCTCAAGGTTCACGAGATACAGCTTGGTGACAGATGAGCAGACGGCGGAGTCTTAGTAATAGGGTTCCGTTTTATGTTTGGGTACGGAACCCTAAGAAACAGATAATCTTTTCGCTTTAATATAAAGTTAAATAAGTTGTCGTACAAATATTTGTATGTACAATTTGACATTCAATTGTGGCAATACTTATATAAACAAACACTCAGCGCTTAATATGCGGCGTTCGTGTGCCGACGTTTTAGTGCATGCTTTGCATCATTAATTAACACAAGTATAGACTGTACATTTCGTTTCCGCAAAATTTTGACCTACACATTTCAGATATAATCGTATGGTCTCGAACTAAGTAAGATTGGAATACTTATTCCGTATTAGTTTTCGTCGCATTTGAGTCGATTATTCGATTTTTCGTTCACTGAACAGCTTGACAGATCAAATAATAAGTGGCTAACATCGTAGTAACTCCTTACAACTATTTTACAAATCTTAGTATCAGTTTTTTTTTAATTATTGATAGTATGGTTTATTTGATTTATATGTTATTGGCTTTAAATAAGTATTATTAACTACATAAGGCTTTAAACCCAAACACACCAACACTGCAAGACTGCACCATGTCTCCTTTCCTTAGATTGCAATAAAAATAAAAACTAAAATAATTGACCGTGGCTTACGTTAACGTTGTCATCAAGACGTGATACAACTGAGTCCCGTGACCGTGAACGCGGAAAAATCCGTAAAATTTTACATGTATAATAGTTGTGTAAAGACAAGAACTCAATATATGAATTACTCTTAGATAAAATACTACCTAGTATAAACATAGATATTTTGTAAATCACTCGGGTATTAGTCAATAGCAAGAGCTATAGCCTCTCTAGAAGTTTCCGAACACAAAAGAATAAACTTCGGCGGTTTTGAAGTAAAGCCGCGCGTAAACTCGCGCTCACTGTTTCAGACATTGTCCCTCGAAATGCTCCATTGTCCCTATTTAAATTTATAACTTTTTGGAGAAACTAACTACAGGACAATACGACTTGACAAGTAATCTGTTGTTATTTCCAAAATCAAATTAACTAACGGGAACTCAATTTGAGTTTGCATACATTTTATTCTCATTCAGTTTATCTATTGGCTGCGGCTCGACTGCTATAGTAAACAGCAATATTACTGTTGATGTTGACTGGTTAAAAGAATCACACTTAATCAACTGGCTATAATTGCCATATGTCAAAGTAAAATAAGTAATAAAGCATAAAAGTTTATAGAACATACGTTAAATGAAGAAAAACGCCTTAAAAATTTGTAGTTTCGGTGAAAGATATATATCATATAGCAACAATAACCCCCGCTTACCGCGTTAGAGTTAACACATTTATTTTAGAAAACCTCGTAGTAAACTTGGCTCCATTATGTTCGTTTCCAGTTAAATCTACTCTCTCGCTCGCTACCAACGTCAGGGTTTCAAAGCTGTGAGAGACAAAATGAACATGAGCTAACGAGAACGGTTCGAATGACTCGATTGCTTCAATCTGAAGCTTCGCACCCGATAGGCATTGCCCGTTTGAAACCAGGGCTGTACAATTAACTCTAACATATCCATTTAGAATGAGAAATTGCTTTGCGTAACAGATATTTTATTAACACATATATTTTATATTTATATTATTATATATATTTTATATTTATTAACACTGAAGGCACAAGTGTCTGAAAATGAACACCTACTTCCTCCCTTTGACAAAATCGACTTTGGCAAATCGATTTGTTAAAAAATGTATCCGAATTTGTAATCAAACTTCAGTTTAATCAGTAATAGAGTTATCGTCTCACAATTGTTTCATTTACAAAAAAATTTGGTAAATATTTACTTTAACTCCGGCGTAATTCAATTCAAATAAATTTTAAACGGTAGAGAAAAATCGCTAATGAATTTATCAACAAGCAGAATTCGGCGGTCGCTTATAGCTTTCGAAAAAATAAATAATGAAATAGTGTGATTTTTAAAATATGTAGAAAAAGTGCGAAAAGATTGTCGCCGCTGTGGGAATCGAACCCACGTCTTCGGCATTCAGGGCCTGACGCTCTAGCCACTGAGCTAAACGGCTGATTGCCACATCGACGAAAATCTTAACGCATTCTTCCACATTGTTTTCTTAGCATTTGAAGCAATGCTTGGCGCCATCTATTGTTATATCCTTTCCAGCATACAAACAATTTCGAATATCTTTTTACAACGATAATTCGAACGAGAGATGTCGCCATTGTTTTTTTAGAAATTTTAATTTGTCGCGGCGACAATCTTTTCGCACTTTTTCTACATATTTTAATGTTCAATCTTAAGTGCAAAGATTAGCTCTATAAACAATTTAAAATTCTAACCTAATCTATCCGAGTCGGATTCGCTCTGTGTCGGTTCTGTGACTCATTAAATAAAAAAAAATCGGTATATCGATACGTGTATGATGTCGCCCGCTTCCTATATTTATCATGTTGGCAGAACTGTGTATTGAGTTTTTGAAGTCAAACAAATAAAATGGTGGATTTTTAGTACAAATAACAAGTTTAAAATATTTTTTTCTCGAAAACTATAAGCGACCGCCGAATTCTGCTTGTTGATTAATTCATTAAAGATTTATCTCTATCGTTTAAAATTTATTTTAATTGAATTACGCCAGAGTTAAAGTTATTTACATTTGCCAAAAATTAAATCGACAGAGAAATATAAACATTGCACAATGCATATTATAAACTGAAATAAATTATGTTCAACATGATAAATTTTAAACCGATTGGTTAGGTTCCTTAGGTGTATATTTTTAAATATCAATAATCATGCGACGTCAACATGGTTATAGTAAAAATAAGTATTTTTTGATGCATCATAGTATTCTACAACCAAGTAAAACGTGAGGTCCCTGTGAAAATTATTGACAAAAATGAATGTTCTACATAAGGTAATAGGCAGATTACTTCAGTGCTAACTTGCATACATTTAATTTTTCTCTCTCCAAATCTAAAGGTTTTCAATAATTTTTAAACAATTATAGTTTCTCTATCGATAAACATATCGATATTTTTTATTTTATTTGTTAGCGATAAACGAATGTTATAATTAACTTCTAAACTTATAATTAACTTCTAAACAATTACTTAAATTATTGTCTTTTGAATCATTTGACAACTTTATCTATGTCTGGAAGTCTGCTTATTTTTAGGAAGTTTAAACGTATATTAAAATATGTGAGGTTATGTCAATGTATGTTGTACTAATATAAAATAATAGCAATCTGCCCATTAATAGTAATGTAATAAAGACAATACTTCACTTACCGCGATGCAGTTAGACGACTGATTTATGTTCTCTGCAACAAAAAAGTCATAAAGTTAAAACATGTTATATACTGATTATAAATATATATTTTTAGTATAAGAATTGCAAGTGAGTTGGCGGTTCAACTCATTGCCACCCATGAACATTTGAAACACCCGTAGGGTTGCAAATTCGTTGCCACCTTTCAAAGAAGTTAACCCCCCGCTACCTAAATCACCAGACGAAACGCTCAAGTGTAACACTTTTACTTCTAGCCGGTCTTCTGTGAGGCTGTGCAATAGCGACTGCTCCGTGGCCCTACCCTATTTATTGGGAATGAAATTTTAAATATATAATATTTATTTATTAGCCCATTATGAGTCCGACAAAAATACACAATCAACATTAACATTCAACTACAATTTTGTAGTTAAATGTTAATGTTAATTGTATTGTAACTACGTAGTACATATTGTAATTAAATGATGAAGTTGTTAATTAATTTGCTTTTTCTTTCATTTCATCAATTAACTTTTTTAGTCTTACACAATTAATTCATTTGCTTACATTTGTCATCGCAATTAGGATAGGATAGTAATAAAACCGTTTAAAATAAATCCACCTAATCTTTGGTAAACTACCTTTATTACCTAATCAGGGGTCATCGGCGCTGTATGGGTAATCTAGAGCAAGGGTTCTCCCTGGCGATGTGATCCGAGATTAAATTAACAAAATGTGGCGAGAGGATCGGCCGTTATAAAGCGAGCATCATACGGAGGATCCTTTAGTTTAACTGTTGTTTCAGGGACCTCTTTTGGTAAATAGAGCTAAGATATAAGATAATCACAAAGGGCTTCGTGATGCTAAGTATCATTGTATTCATTGTCCACGTAAAGGCAGGTTGATTACTGTCATCAAATTATTATAATTAATGTTGAAACCGCACCCGGTAATTGAACGTCTCTCTAAATAAATGTAATTCTAAAGAGAGCATCACTATTCGGCATAAGTAGTCATAGTTGGGCCTCTAGAAATGATGTTTTTGCAGCGCAGTTTTTCGTTTCATCATATGGCTTAAAATTTCGAATGAGAAGTAATTTGTACATTTTCTTTATAAAAATAACTGTTATTGATAGTATCAGCCCAAGCCTAATGCAAAACACAATTTAATTTCCCCTAACATGCCCCTTTATTCGTTCAAACTTAAACATAAAAAACAAATCAAATATTTGAACGATGAAAGAAACGATAGCAGCAAACTTTTCTCGTACATATTAAAAAAACTTTGTTAATATCCCAAATTTTGTATCTTGACGACGTTAAACACACTTGATCCTTTACATTTATGCTGATGTACATCCAGCAAAGTGATTAATGTTTAACCATAGACTGCTCGACGATCTTAACAATTTATATCTACGATTTGAGCAAATTTGACAAAACAGCGCGGAAGGAACAAATGAAGAAATAATTGAACAGATGTATTATGTATTGTGCAAAAAGGAGTAAGTGGGTGATTATAAGCAAAGAGTACTTTTATATATCTGAAATATTAGTGAACCTGAAATCTGATTATAAGTGCAAACCGTCGACGTACTCAGGGGATGGCTTGTAAAAACTACTAACACTCGTAGCCAACGTTTTCCTTAAATGTGATGACAATTCGAGAACATCAGGAAAAGAAAAAAGTCTTTGTATTAACGTTTAAAGCTCTCTATTTATCTTTATTACTGTGAGGTGTACTTATGAAAATTAATCTTCTGCCAGCTTGAATGCATACATGTAACAAGTATATATAGAATCCTTCGGTGTGGCATAAAATATCGTTATGGGTTTAGCCTGCGACTGTAATTTTATACTGAACATTCCCATTAGTATGCTAAAATGGACGACGGTCAGCAGAAAACGAGTGCGGTACAAGTCTAAAGCGTCAGGCTGTCTTATGACTAACTGTTTTCGAATGAAACTTAAAAGGTGATTTTGTGTAGATATTCGAATCCCGAAATCCCGAAAGTTTCTGATCATTTATCTACAAAAAAAAACACATTTGAAGATTCATCTTGAGTGAGACTAGGACTAAAATAAAATTTTAATAGCCAAGGTGACATCGCTCATTAACGTTCACAAGTGATTTTTAAGGTGTTTCCTAAAGTGCTTCCTGTCGCAAATTATTTTTTTTTATGTGAAAAGTTGCCAAACGAGCAGACAGTTCACCTGACGTTAAGTGAATACCGCCGCCCAATGACATCTGCTACACCCGAGGGTTACAGATGCGTTGACAACCATTTGAAAATTGGGCTCCGCCTACCTCCCTCACCAGACGAAACGCGAAAGTATTTGTCATACTTCCACTTTACGCTGGTCTTCTGTGAGGTCGTGGTACTTACCCGGACGAGCCTGCCCATTCGTGCAACAGCCGAGGCTGCTGCGTGGCCCTACCACCGTAAAAATTATGCACACTAGGTGACGCCAAGTATTGCCAAGAATGCAATAAAGAAAGTACATATATGTCGAAATTTCCGCTCCGTGAGCTACTTAGCTTAGTTACCAACTAGAGTCTGGGCGCGTTACGTGGAAGCCTCAGGCTCGAATCCGTTATGGGAACATGAAAAAAGAAGGGAAGAACATCTTATTAAACTTATCGCTATACTCTGTTCACCTGGAAGTCACTCCGTATGAATGTTGGACACCTTAGATGTTTGACAGTGTAATGTCGTCATTTTTTTAACGTTATGCAAAATAGGATCTCTTCTCTTACGCTATTAGTCTCAGACGGAGTATAAAGAGCGGAACAGAGCTAATTGTCATCTACATTAAACTGCAAACATTATAAGTTGTGAACCATGCAGAAGCCATGTAATCGGCACAAATGTGGTCCTGAGTATTTGAGTGCACGTCACTCTGAGCGTCGAATTTGTGATCTCAGATCGTAAGTGGAGAGAATGTGATTTGTGCTTTTATAACTTGTACCACGCGTCACATGGAAAGGATGAAACGGCTCTCCGGCGATTAAATAGAATTTTAATGAAACAAGCGATGAATGCTATGCGATCTCATGAATTAAAGAGATGTTTACTTGTAAACAATGATATCGGTTTCCAATTTAGTCTTCTCGTAGCGCAGATTTTTTTTTTTTAATTTCCTTTAATTACTTTCGAATTTATTAAAGTTATATTGTTATCGGAGATTGTTGAACTCGTTTGGATTACTCTTTACGAACAGCGGAGCGAACTCTTTCGTTCGAATACAAGTAAAATTACAAACAAAATATTGCGGACTTCTAGTCACACAGCCGTTTAATGATTTGGATGAAATTTATTTTCCTGTCATATCCTATATACTGTACTTTGTTTCGGCGATTGCATTTGAGATGTTTACAAAAGATAAAGTGATTTAAGTGTTAACCGTAATACCGATTACTAGTACTTGCATCGCAAGTGATGTCGTAAATACGTATCTCGTTAAAATCTCTCCACGTTAAAGATTTTTTCTGCATAACGTATATTTCAGCCAAAAGGATTATTTGACCTCTTTCATTTTCCCAATTAGTAAATTCCCGTTTCCGTCAACCAGTGCTGCTTAATCTTACAAGTTCATGCTTGCGTCCCCACTGGTTATAACCGTTCAACCGTTCAACCTCCAAGTGTTTGCAAAGTAGGTACATAAATAAGTGTTATCAAAAAAGGTTAAAAGAACAATACTTTAAATTTATTTCAATAGAATCATTGTTCAACAATGATAAAGGTAAGGTTCAACTTTAGACGCCTGAAGTCCGATCCACTAAGTACACGAGACGTCAAAAGTTCAGTCCCTTATGTACTCCGTCCCGTAATCCCGTACTCCGCAGAAATAGTTTATTTCAATGTTTCAGTCTAGATTTAATACAAGTTCTGGCGACAAGGAAAATTCTATATGTCCGTCTCTAAACTTTATTTCATTTTTAGTTTTGGAAGGCATTTTTTCTTCTCGTGTAGACACGTACACAAGTTATTCCTTAACTTTTCCCCTTTCTTTCTTCAAAAACTTCGCATATTGGATCTTATATTGTAGTAACTTTATTGGATATACTTATTCCTTTTTTATGCGAATAATTGGCACGTGGGTACGCGGTTCACCTGATGTTAGAGGTTGATCGCCACCCACGTACGTCTACAACTTGATAGTGCGTTGCCAACCATTAAAAAGCCGTCCAAGTGTGAGTCGGACTCGTGCACGAAAGGTTCTATTATTATTTATAAAAACGAAAAAAAAACCATGTCGACGGACGAACAGACACACGGACAGACAGCGGAGTCTTAGTAATAGGGTCCCGTTTTGCCCATTTGGCTACGGGACCCTAAAAATGAGCGCCGGTTATCTCAATCCTCAGACAAAGCTCAATTTGTTAACTTTAGCGAGTTAACCGTTTTTATTATATCTGTGTAGCCGTATTTTTTTAAATAACGAAAAATCATGAATACTTCGATTTATTTTACATAAATGCATTATTACGATATTACTTTTATTATTTTCCAAACAACCATCGGGACTAAAACAATCATGAAAATAAACATACGAGAGCAAAATTTCGATAAAAACTATACGAAAATTCACAATCGACTTTCGAAATAAACACGACTGCACAAGTTTCGTAATAAACAATATATGAAAACCCCAAAAGAATTGTACATAAAGGAGCACGTTATCCAAAGTGAAACGGAATGAAAAACAATTTCATGCAATCCCGAAAACGTCAAGTTCGACCTATCGAGGACAGATCTCAAAGGGACTCCGCGTAATAGGAACACTCGAACACAATCGCGTTATGAATAAACACCGCGAGAAGGTTCCATCTTGGCTACAATACTTTACAAGACTTTATCGCTTTATTCAATGGAACAATAAAATGAGCTTTTTCTTAGTTTTACACAGTGTTTCATTTTCTGAACAATACAAGTAGCATTTTTTATTTTTATTTCCTACACGTATGTGGCTAGCTTTTTCGCCATTTTATCTTGGTACTTACATAATCTTATTAACAAACTACAAATTATTACATCTAAATTTAACTCG